GTTACCGTTTTTTTTTTTTTTACCTTGGTTTATTTTTTTGGCGGTAACCATAATGTTGGTCGAGTAGATCATGTGTGGCGGGGTCGAGAAACCTCACTCCGCGCAACGGGGGATGATCGCACCACGTTGTGTTAAAATGGTCAAGCTTCCTCGAGGCAGTTACACAGTGCGTACAACTGTCTCTGGAAGTGAAAGCACCAGAAAATAAATTAAGTCATACGTAGCTGTCATCCGTACGCAAGGAAGTAAGCACAAGATGCCGAACACCCTTAGCAGGATGCAGCTCACCCTTCATGCGACTCGCCAAATACCTCACGGCGCTTCGCGCTTGGTGATGTGAGAGCCTGGTCCGGTGAGAACCCGGCGTGCTCCGTCCCGGCTTTGAAGGGATGCGAGGTCAATGGTCAAACGACTACGGCATGCACGACTATGAGTACACCCCCCCCCCCTCCCGCGTTTTCTTGTTTTTGGGTTTTTGGGACTCTCAGGCATTTTTTCTCCCCAAAGGCTACGACAGCCACACCAATGTGGGTGAGGGAATAGGGCTAGGGAATGGGGTTTGCGTACCCCCCTCCCTGTGATTTTCTCGCGAAGGCGGTCGAGCGCTCTCACCGGCCTTCCGAGCACGACCGACCCGGACACGATGAGCCTCAGGGAGGCCGTTGATTGGTCGAGCTCCCTCTGGAGCCAGGCCCGCTGCTCTCTCCCCAGCACCTCGCAGAAAGGCGAGTCCTGCAAAACGAGCAACGAGGATATAGACCCAACTGCAATTCTTCACTTGGCGCTCCTAGCTGCGAAGACATGGTACGATGATCAGCTGGGATGGTATTGAGTGATGGGACCCCAAAGCTCATATCATCATACCTCTGTACGATCCCAAAAAATATATACGAAGGAAACCTCCGCACACGCGCGCGCGCCGCTACGACAAGTGTTTTCTACGTTTGCCGACGACCACTTTCTGAACTAGCCGTCACTATCCTGTGTTGATTGATTGGTCACTCAGTTTGCTGCCCCCCCCGTCTCTTTTACCTACCTATGCTGTAGCTCGGCCTCTCCTCTCGAGTACGCGCGACTTGCTGTAGCAAACGATGAATGCTCTCTGTCTCTCTCCTTGTTTCTATCTCTGCTTCTCTCTCAGTTTATCTCTCTATCTATATTTCTCTCTCTCTCTCTCTCTCTCTCTCTCTCTCTCTCTCTCTCTCCCTTAGAGAGGCTTGTAACTTGTTTTCCCTCCGTTCAACACAGATTTCCAACAACAACGCAGAGTACGTACACAAACAAATCGCGTTTCCGGTACGGATATTAAAAGGTACCGAGCAGAGACCGGAACAGTTTTTGAGCGCGAAGACGTCAACAATAGCATTTTACACGGCAGGTTGTTCTATTCCATGCACGCGTGCGACCAACAAGCACCTCGCTCCCTACTGTGCTATCCTCATACCTGTTCTGCAATAGCCACCGACACAGCACAACGCATTCACTCAGACCGATGCGACATCAGGCTGCACGTATTGGGCACAGCAAGAAAACAAATTCCAGGTTTTTCCTTTTCTGCATGCGCATGCGACGAACAATCACTTCCCTCTTCGTAGCTTTCACCTTCAGCCAGTTGTTTGTTTTCCGCTTCTGTGTTCTTAAGTTCGCTTCTGTGAATGTGTACTAGAAGCTTACATGCAATCACCACAAAGAATCTTACAAGTTCCAAGCCACTACCACAGCGTTGAAATAGTTTGCTGTTCTTAATTTCCGAAAGTTTTTTTCCTGGATAATTTTGTTTATGAAATGTTTTTATATGTACATTTTTACCTGGGAATCAACCTCCTCGGTCCCGTCCGGATGCCGTAGGTCGCCAGTCTCCTCGTCGAAAACGAGCCACCTCTTGCCGAACTCCCGGGAGGACGAGTCGCAGGCCTCCTCCCAGAAGGGGCTGTCCCTGCTCGAGGGCTCCAGGCACCTATCGGCGGTGGTGATGGTGGTGGTGGTGGTGGTGGTGGTGGTGGTGGTCGCGGCGGCGGCGGCGACGACGATTCATTAACAGTGGGGTGCTGTTTGCTGTAGATGGATTAGCTGCTGGTGGCCACGATGACAGCGAAGACAACAACAACGATACGATTTGACTACCATCAACTCCCCCAAAACTAGGAGGCCTGATTGAGGAGGGAAATGCATCCCACACGACGTACGTAGATATATGCGTATCAGTGTCGAAGAATCGGAGGTGAGGCAAGGCGAAAAAAGATAGCTCTACAATCTGAATGCCCGCCGTGTGGAATTGTCCAAAGCTCGAAAAGCCAGCCCCTCAGCACAGCTGACGCATTTAGATCCGAAGAGCCCGACGAAGAAAACCGAAAAAAAACAACAAATGCAGATGCGTCGCTTATTTGTGGCCAGAGAGATGAACTACAATAATTCGCTTTATATTTCTAGACAAAAATTGTGGAATTACATCGAGCGGGAAAGTCTGTCTGTCGACTAAAAAAACATAGAACGCGGAATACAGAGCCTTCTACGTCCGTACCGCCCCAAGAATATCTTCTTGTCGTGGTTTTTCTGTTATCATGTGCGTAGTAATAAAAAATCGGGATATACATAGCCTTTACGTCCGTACCAGCCGAACAATATCTTCTCGTCGTGCTATTCCTTCTGTGATTGCTGTTTCATAAAAAAAAACTTACTTCTAGAAGTGAATACATACTTCTATATATATAATATATACTTCTATATATCGGGATAGAAATAACCTTTAACGTACGCACCAGCCGAAGAATATATTCTCGTCGTGCTGGCAGCAGGAGCCGTTCCCCCCGTGCCCTCCCCGGAGGAAGTCGGTGCACCACACGGTGTAAGAGGTAGTGTTCCCTCCGGCGTCCATGTCTTCCAGAATCTGCGACATCCCGCCCGAAGATAGACGAAGAAAAAAATAACACCATGCACTCAATGAAACAACAAGAAAAACGCCGTCTCCTAATGAGGGCTGTTGTGCATGCGTAGCCTTTCCACCGTCGGCTTACGCCCTCGCCGCGCATGTACTTCGTCACGAAGACACAGGGGCACCAAACAAAAAAAAGGATACAAACCAAAAGAATGAAAATACACACACCAGAAGAAAAACCGAAACACACACCAGAAGATACAACGAGCAAAAGTAAAAAGCCTATGGCGGTAAATCAGATATGAGCCTTGCGACGCGCATTTTACATGCAATGCCTCGGCCTCCGTCAGCTAAATTTACTTGCCACGCATGTTTACTTCGTCAAGCAAAATTTCTGTGGGCGTGCATCTTTTCGCGACGCATGTTTAGTTCGTCACGCAAAATTCCTGTGGACGTGCAACTTCTTGCCGCAAAATTCTGCTTCAGCACATATATACATACAGGTAGGGGTCCCCGTATAGTACCGGTTTGTGCCGAGACAATCGACCGGCACTACTTTACCGGACAACGGCACTTAACTCAAAAGTACAGAATGACTTGGTAATTCGGTGTGTGCCCACAAAAACACCGGCCCTGCTGTGTACCGGGCACCGGCATCTATTCATCCGGCACTAAACGGGGTCCCCCACCCTCCACTGCTATTTCCGGGGGCTGCTGTGCTGCTGCTGCTGCCGACCAGAGGCAGACGAACGCATCGTGCAGCAGCAGCGTGCAAAGACCTACCATTTGGTACTTAAAGTGATAGGTAAAAAAACAGATCTAGAGATGAAGTGACGCAAAAAACAAACGGTACTTTGCCGGCACCGAGACAGGGGCTACCTCTGTTGGACGTACCTTTTCGCAGTAGCTCCGCCTGAGGTAGCACGGCTTCGTGTCGCGGTCGTAACGCTCGTCCAAGAGGAAAACCTGCGCTTCGCACAAAAATAAAAACGGCATGAAACGGTCAAATCATGGTGGAGGGGGAGGTGGGGTGTACTCATAGCCGTGCACGTCGTAGTCGTTAGACCATTGACCTCGCATCCCCACAACGCCCGGACGGAGCACGCCGGGCTTTCACCGGATGATGCTAGCACAGAACCAAGCGCGAGCCGCTGTGGGATATTAGGGTGGCGGAGTGGGCGTACTCATGATTTCCATGCCTCAGTTGTTCGACAATTAACCACACGTCCTCGAGAAGACAGAGCATTTAATCCCACCGGATCGATCACCGACAACGGCCAATCATCAGGGTGTGGGTCAGGGCCTGCGTAAGTTCTTGTCGAAGGAGTTCTTGCAGCTGCATACATTCATACGTTCGAAAGACAGAATAAAACCAACTCAGGGGCGCTTTCTGCTCGGTAATTTACCATCAAAACAGCGGTAAATGAGACTGGTAAAGTTGCTTCGAACAGAAACAAGCGCATGAATTGCCAACAAAATTCTTCCAAGAAAAAACAGCAGAAATTTGATGCAATGGGACCGAGGAGGGTGTACTCATGTCAACCATGCCGTGGTCGATACACCATGGACCTCGCATCCCTACAATGCCGGCACGGAGCGATGTGCGGGTTTTCGACGGCCCATAAGGATGAAGCAGAGGCTGGTGGTCAATATCCTTGCGCTTGCTGCGCCAAACTAGATATGTCATGGGTTGGTTGGGCATACCGGCCATCGGCATTACCCTCTCTAGAGCTCTTTGCTTTCTGCGGCCCCACCTCGATCTCTCTGTCGGTGCCGCTGTTGAGGACGTGCTTGTGCCACATACCCTGGTGGGCGTTCCTTCGGGGACTATTCCTGTCCTCCCCTATGGCGTCCAGGAACATGTTTTTGAAGAGCTTTTCGAAGGAAACACGGGGAAAAAAAAAAGAGGGAGGAGCAAAACAAAGTTGCAGGAGCTGTTCTTGAAGAGGTTTTATGACAACAAAAACGATGTCGCCATGAAAGGTAGAAAAAGAAAGGCAACCGCACGAGTATGTATTTAAGAATTTTCTTGAAGAGCTTTCGAAACCAAAACAATGTCGCAACAAAATAAAAAAAGGGGCGAACAAGAGGCAACCGCAGCGGGATTCGGTTATTTAGGACAAGGAACGGACAAGACCCGAGGGCACCTGTCATGAAAATACGGACGCATATATGTAAGGTTAAAAGGCGGAGACGCGACGAGCGAGAGGGAGAGAGAGACAGAGAGAGAGAGAGAGACAGACAGAGACAGAGGCACGCGGCAATGACACAGACATAGCGGAAAGCGCGAGATAGAGAGACGGACGCAAAAAGAGCCAGAAGAAAAACGGCAATCGTAGCGGGAACCGACTTATTTAGGCCAAGGAGTAGAAACGACCAAGCGAAAATCTCATGAATAGACAGGCGTCCGTACGTAAGACGGGGAGGCCGAGGGAGAGAGAGGCACATGGCAATGACACAGAGAGAGCGGAGAGAGTGCGGAGACGGAGGGAAAAGGAGGCAAAGAGCTTCGCGGGAAGAGGACAATATTAGTAAAAGGGAAGAACAATACGTCGAAAGGCGTGTGTGTGTTAAAAACTGTTAGCATCGATCGCGCTTGCAAAACCGGCTGACCCATGAAAACACGCCACACCTTCAAGGGCGGTTACAAACACAAGCTGCTTCTGAAGTCCATGACCTGGGAGGGTGTCATGGGGAAGGAAGGCTATGTACTCTCCGGAACAACGACAGCTGCCGTGGGAATAACAGAAGATACCGTGGGTTCGTCTGCGGTCGTTCAGAAACAGGAGGGGTAAGTTAGTTATGTAGCTGTGAGAGGTATGAGCCCCTCGTGTTCCGGCGATGTCGGGAACAAAGCCCACTGCCCTTGCGTGGTAATGACGTCCCGACAAAAATCCAACCGGAATTTCTAAGCCTCACTGTTCGTGACACAGACAGAGGAGTAGGGTGCGTAGATGCGGCAGTCCGCGTGGCCAATTCCTCCGGATCGGATTTTCGGGGCCCAGCCAGCAAAGCTTTGCGCGCGGCATCCGTATGAGGCCTAATGAGTTTACTACACAGACGGAGAAGAATATTTACATGTACTTCGGTACGACAACGAATCTGGCGTGAAAAACGTCATGAGGTCGTCGAAATTTAAAGAAATTTCAGGTTCAACATTTTACGAACATGAAAAACAAAACATCGCTCATTTGAATCTGAATACTGATACACCACTTGCCGCAAGACACCTTCCCAGGCACCAACACAATGGAGAAAGGTATAACCGTCGAGAGGCACACAATAATTATAGCGCCTGCTCGCTGAAAAACCCCAACCCTATACCCCGTTCGTGTCGGCCCTCCTACCGAAAAACGTAAACAGAAGAAAACATACAAAAGGCGTGGGGAGTCGGTACAACAAGCTCTTCCCCGCAGAAACATTCTCCGGACGTTGGCTGCACGTGTCCATCTGCCTATCTTGTTTCAAGTTCTTCTGCGTATTTCTTTGTTACCGAAGCGGAAAAGTTGCTGTTATACATCCTCCAGAAAACCAACAAAAAAAACGCGTGCAGTCCTTGCCGGCACCCAATAGCTTGTTCAAACGTTCTTCAGTGTTGGCTGCCTGCTGAACGTGTGTGCAGGTGTTCACCCACGCATTTATGCTCAAAATAAAATAAAACGCAGCCAAATACACGCACATCCCCCGTCATCAAGTTGTTCGCAAAAAACGTTTCTTCGACCTTGGCTGCCTGCTGAACCTGTGCACACGTTGACACCTCACCCATTTCTGCTCGTTGCGACTGTCGCCATCGTTCCACCCGTAGTCGTGGTCGTCCCAGGTGCCCAGAATCGTCCTCGGGCAGATGGCGCTTTTTCCGTTTCCATGTGGTTGTTGCGTGGTGGTTATTTGGTTATGCCAGCAACGTCATGGGATGAAAAAACAGAGGATGAAAATGGAAGGGCTGTCAATTCAACCTGGAAAAGTCACAGACAGACCCACAGAATCGTCCTTGGGTACAATAGACTGCGCTTTTTTTCCGTTTTCACAGTTGGTACGTGATTAGTTGGTTATCCCAGCAATGTCATGGGACTCAAAACAGAGAATACGAAACAAGGTAGGGCTGTTATGCCAAGCAGGAGAGTTCGCAGACAGACCGGCAGAAACGTCATCGGGCAGATGGCTCTTTGCCGTACGTATTTTGTTGCGCTTGCTTTTCCCGCCATACGCCATGGGATGAAAATCAGAAAAACGAGCAAAGGTAGGGCAGTTATACCGTGTTCCAGTGAGGACAACGAGGAGAGATCATCACAACACCACGCCGATAATCCTCGGGCAGACGGCGCTTTCACCGCTTGCGTCTGGTTGATGTGTTTGCTTGGATACCCCAGCATACGTCACGAAACAAAAAAAAACAGGGGAATAAAAAACGAAGGAGGGACTATTGTTGATTGCCCCCAGTGGAAACAAGAAGAATCGTCCTCGGGTCGACGGTCGTATCTCCATTTTTACTTTTTTTTGTTCGTGCCTGATATTTTCCGCCATGTGTCATCGAACGAAAAACAGAGAATACAAACGATGGAGGGACTGTCACGCAAGCAGGTGAGGTCAGAGACCCACAGATAAAAATCGCGGGGTGGTTGCGTTTGTTTTGTCGCCCCAGAAAGTTTCATGGAAACATTATTGCTGGTGGTGGTGGTGGGGATGGTGTTGTCTTCACATTCACAAAAACCGTTCCGGTCTCCGCTCGGTACCTGCTAATGTCCGTACTGGTCCAACTGACACGGAACCCTTCCGTGGTTGCAAGCCAACTACTCCAAAAAATGAGGTGTACACCTTTCTGCGAATAAAAAAAAACAAGAGAACAAAAAAAAGCGGTGGCTCATATACGGTGCCCCCGGTGGGGGCACGGCGCCTTTGTCAATAGCCATGTTCTTCTAGCCGTCCCGACATCGATACTCGTGTCCAGGGGGGCAGCGTTAACGATGCATCCCCGGGTTTCGATATATCATCAGGCACCACACCAAGCAGCCACGGACGAGATCACCCCACGACCTACCAATATCATCACCACAATGTAGCAAGCCCACGGAAGGCGGCCGAACCCCATTTTCCTACCGAGATCTACGAAGAACCTTTGAAAATCTACCGAGATCGATGCACACGAAGAACCTGCGGAGATCTCCGGAGAAACGCACCTGTTCGTGCCGGGGGGAGGGGTCATGGCTAGCCCTCGCGCAGCGGGGCACATGAAATCGAGGAACTGGTTGTACTCGGGGTTGCGGATCATCGTCTGAAACCTGCAAACAAAAAAGCGAAAAACACGATAAAATAGAAACGAAACAACAGACGGAAAAACCCTTTCACATTCGAGAAGAAGCTTTTGGTATATCTTGGGATTGGGAACAAAACGAACGAAACAACGAAAAACAGTTTCACATGTTCAAGAGGAGAGTCTTATTGTCATTTCTGGGAATTGGTTGTGCCTCCGGGCTGCTACATATAGTGAGCTTTTCGATGGGCAAGATTATTTTTGGTCCTGTCGTATTTTTCTCCTCACGGGGACGGAGGAGTTTTCCTTTGGTGTGTGTGTGCGGCGTCAAACGCCAACTCTCGATATGCGTATGTGTATCTGTTAGTAGCATCGACCGCGCCAACCGGTTGGCCAATGAAAGGCGTCAGTCTCAGTGCGGTTGAAAACACAAAACACTTCTCAAATGTCGTGAACTGGGGCCCCATGAGGGGGCGGCATGAGGGAGGCTAAGCCATTCTCCGGATTAAAGACAGAAACCGTAGCAACAGAGGACAACTGCACGTGTCTACCAAAGGCTGCTACCTTGCACTCGAGTTCGTTTCGGCATGCTTTCATCATCACCCCCCTTGCTCTCACTACCATCACTCTCATCGTCATTTTCGCAGCAAATTTTCGGCAGTTCTTCTCTAGCCCTGCGTCGTTCTTTGCGGGGGAGGTCATCTGGCTCGAAGATCTCGCTCTCTCCCGTGTGTGTTCGTGTGTGTGCACGTCGTTCAGAGCAGTACAGTCGCGACGAAACAACGAGGATGGCTAACTCCAACCACCATACATCTCGCGAAGAAACGAAAGTCTCGACGAGTTCTTGACTCCACCGCCGTCACTCTCGCCACCGCCACTCTCGCATCCTCTGGTCGTGGAGAAAACGAGCTTTTCACCATCGGCCCCACAAGGGGGGTGTGCTATCTTACGTCCCCTACGTAATTGGCCTCGATTCTTCGTCGGGGACTCACTTTCTCAGTCCATGGTTGGGGTCGCCTGCCGCGCACCACGGCCTGCCCATCCAGGAAAACAGCACCACACCGTGGCAACAGGAGGGAGGCGGGGTTTCGTGGATGTTACGGTGGGGGAGGGGGGGGGGGGGGGGGGGGGGGGTCTGGGGGGGGGGGGGGGAAAAAATTCCCCTTTCCCGGCGGGGGGGGGGACAAATTTAAAACCCC